AGATACCCCCCAAGAAACAAAGGCAACTATGATAATTGTAAAGACTTGGCTTGGGCGGGCCTCAGTGCAACTCCAGGATTGTTTTGAGCACACACACATTGGGACTTCAGACCAGTGGCACTAACCTCTACTGTAATGAAGCACTCTGAGAGGCTGATTTGCACAACAAGACAAGATTGCATCCGCGCTGTCCTGTTCTACATACAGAACTGTTTTAACATCTTTACACTCATCAAACGTATCCAGTTTTTCCCCTACAACAAACTGTTGCATGCATGTATAGAACAATTTTGGAATTGTTAGTATGCTTGGTGGATGAATGCTCTTGGGTAAACAGTTTTAATATATGTCTTTCTTTTTTTAGGCGTCCAAACACCTTTATTTTTGCTCACGTCTTTCTTATTCTTTTTCTGACCTAAAACTGATAGGGGGGAAGACACTGTAAGTCATTCAAACACTGAACTTAGAGGGTAGGTGTTCAATCATGCTCTCTACTAAGGCAGTTAAAATGAAACTGATTGTCCTGATGGTGGTGCTATAGAGCAACATTTTACCTTTTGGCCCATATCTCCTGAACCGTGAGGACTACTTTCAAACTTCTTGATTCTCCTTAATCCATAATTTATTCTACAGAAATACCCCACTGGTTCTATTTGGCTCCACCCAAATTTTCCATCATATTTGGCGAAATATGTGTCATCTACATTTTTCTACTAGTCTGAGGTTTTTCAAGATATCTACACAATATTGGTCTCAAATTGTTCAGGGAAGTCTGAAGGTCAAGATATTTTAAGGAAGTCCACCAAGGTTGACACCAAATATTTAATAGGGGCGCTATAACATCCAAAAAAACTGTTTCTCAGTAACTGCTTGATCGATTTTGCATGCTGAATTGTGTTGTTACAATGCTCAATATACTGCCAACAATCCAAAATGTAATTATTCCTGTCTAAGATTATAATAGACATGACAGTTGTTTCAAATTATACATCATAATGAGCCTTAACACTTTGCAAATATATGTATGTTGCTTAACTTTACAGGAAATCCTGTAATTTAATTTAATCAAATCTTTTTAACATTGTCAGATATTATTTTTTTTTAGGCCGCTAGAGGGAGCCAATGTTGAATGAATGAATAAATGAATAAATGAAATATACAATCACTTGAAAGCTTTACACTCTTTGTCTTTGCCAAAGAGCGTTTCTGAATGTTATGCATTCCACCGAGCCAATTGTGCAAATACAAGTCTTAAAAAAACTTATTTGCACAGTTGAAAAAAGATGGAAAATTAACATTTTCTTACTACTTCATGAGTTAAAATCGAATTACATTTTTCTTAAAGCAATCTAAATGATTAAAAACGTCATGACTTTTAAGCACAGTGTAGCTGCAAGATTTGAATAAATTGGTGTGACCTGGCTTATTCTGCCTTAAATGGCTAAAATTACATCAGTAATTGTCTGACATTTTGAAACAAGCGTACAAAATGACTGAGAGTATATTATGATTTAATTTCCAATTATAGTACCACTTAATCACAATAATTAAAAGGTGGGAACTATTTCCCAAAATGGTGCTTGGTTCCTTATTGCTCCATACCATACACTGTGTAAAACCTTTGCCATGGGCATCTTGTAGCTCACCATGAAAACATCTGCCTTTGAAGACTAAGGTCATGGGTTTGATTCCTGTCATAGATGTTGGACGGTACTGTACAAGTTGTTGTGGATATGCCCTTATTTATCTTAATCTTAAGAAAGGGTCTTTCTTAAAAATCCAGTAATTTGCTGCTTTCTATGACCAGAAACATGAAACTTTTTAATGCTGCTACTTTGTCCTAAAATGGTGCATCATTCCTTGTTGCTCCCTTTAAATTATTTGTTTCAAAAATTGCAGCTGTGTTGCAGTTATTTCTGAAAGTCATGCTTTCTACCAAGCTTCCACCTGGCTTATTCTTTCTTAATGGTCTACAAATACATCAATGATTGATTATGAGAGACAACAGGAGCTTATAAATACAAAATTACAAGCTAAGGATGTATTATCAATTAATTTAGTTATATTACTGAATAAAACAGCAACATGAAGTTTGTTTAAAATGTTTAAAGATGTTGAATATTATTCATTTTAAAATTAAAATTAAATGGTCTAATAAAAAAAAATCAGTCACTGCCAATAGCCTCTTAGACTCCCAGTGATGGCATCTAGATGGGACCCAAAATGACGCTGTAAAATCTTGTTGTCTAATAAGCTTCAGTGTTTGCTCCACTTAAATAGCGTGTATTTGAATCTGCTATTAACTTGCATTGAAGCCCAGTTTTAACAGGGAGCTACAACTGTGCCATCTGTCATGAATTCTTGTTGCAGATCACATTAAATAAACAAACTGTGGCAGAGTGCAGTGATAGAGTAGATATTTTCTACTTTGTAATCGCTAACAATACTAAACTGCGGTTAAGTATGAGCAATCAAATCAAGTTAATCATTTCAGTACCATGATGAAATTTTAGCAGAAGCCTACAGCTTTTGCTGTAGTCATAAAGCAACCACAACTGAATTACGGTTATTTAAGAGTGAAAATGCATTAGCACCATTTATTTTGACACCACTTACACCACATGCACACTATAGCTGCCAAAACTAATTGACATTATAGATAATGTTGTTCAGAAATAAAAATAGTTTGCAACAAATCACTTTATTAATTAGTTGACTTGATGACGTTTACGCGTCTCATTTTCATCACGTGATTAAAAGAGGGGACTACAGAATAACAGACACTGAAGTACGGTACCAACCCAAACAGAAAAAAATATCTGAAAATTTCACTCTAACGTCATCTAAAAAGACAGTTTCCTATATGGTATGGACAATCTTAGAGGGCAGCGTGACTGTCAGGCCTAAGTCGATTGAGAATTTACACTGCATTTGCATTAGAACCTTGGCATGTTAAGATAGTAATATCTAACCTTGGGAGGGTTACTTTAAAAATGTATTCCATTACAGATTACTGATTACCTGTTAAAAAAATGTAATTGTAACCTAATCCAGAGGGTGACTATATTAAAATAATCTAATCTGATTACTTTTCATTACTTCAGGATTACATACCGTTTTAAACTAAAATCATTCAAAAATTAAAAAAAAACACAAAGCAAACACAAAGCAAACCAAAAAAACTTTTTATGAAACAGATTACAGGTGACTTAAATATTGTGCCTCACACAAATAGTCATTGGTCTCACAAAAAAAACCTAAAGCCGAAGTTTAGAAATATGTGGAAATATTTTTAATGTAAATATGACAAATTTGTACACGTACACACTCGTGAAAAAGATGAGAAAGTTCAGAAATCAGGACAGAATTCCCCAAGAAAAAACAGGACAGGGAAATGAAGGAAGATTAAAAAGGAATACAGGGAAACATATAATCGCTGAACAATGATCCAGTTCAACCTGCAAATGCAGTGTAGTTAAAATCTATACTGCTCTCCTGGTATTTTGCCTTATTTGTTAAAAATCTGTTGCTTACCATACTGAAGGCAAAAGATCAACCATATAAAAATCTTTTGGTTTTTGAGACCCCTCAACAGTAATCATAAATGGAGATGCTTGCAGACGCTCCCTAATCAGCGAGTTCGCCATGTGGCAGCTGATTATCTTTGTTACAAGTAGTTCTCATTTACACATGTTAACACTTTTCACCCATCATTCAAAAACCATTGGAGAAACAAAATGTTATGAGAAAACAACACTAGCTTTCTTTTTATGTTTCTAAACTGGTAGTTAGTAGTACCTCACTTCAGCATTAAAATCGGGCACATTAACATGCGCAAAAGCTAAATTTAAACCTAGTTGTAGAATTTCACAAAGCAACAAAAGAGAATAAAATCGTTCACGTCCAGATCAGAATAATTTACTGATGTAGAACCTGGTATTGTGTAAAAATAGAGTTAAAAAACTGGTTTTGAATATCTGTCATCTTTCTGACAATAAAAATAGAATGCTGTTAATGTCTTATTAAAACCAGTCAAAAGTAAAAAAAAAAAGCGCATCACTTTGCTTTTTCAGCTATTTTAGTTTTGTAGAGGGAATAAGCACTGGCTAAAGGGAGCTGCAATTTGAGAACTGTTGGTCTGCACTGTTTGGCTAAACTTGATGGTAGTCAGAGCTGTATGTACACTAATGTATACAGACTAGTTTGGATGTCTTTAATTTCTTCTCTGGATTGTAGCCTCATGTCCACATGAAAGTGGAGCTTTAGGTCACTGAGACCTGGACTGGTAGGAATGTATATATTTGATAACACTGACATTGTATGCTTGGTTATTGCCATTTTACTTTGTCAGCTTCTTTAGGTTTCTCTGTCTGACACTGATGACTAGACTGTTAGTTTGTAATCTGTAATATCAAATTTTATTACAGTATGGACGACACAGAAGCTTTGTAATTTATTTTTGCTTTATTATTAGAGGAGAAAAAAACAGCATGTCTTGGAGTGCCATGTAAGATCAGTTTGTGATGTTTCTGCTCAAGTAAACGTTTTTAGTTACAATGCAGAAAATCTGTTACTGTGATATTGATAAAAAGCTCCTTTTAGAAAATATCTATTAAAAGGTTTTGAGAGAGTTTTAAAAGACTTGGAGTTTTTAATAAAAATAAAGTGTCAAAGGAATGATTACAAAACTTACAAATTACTCGTATGATTACAAAAGTATTTTTTTTACATCAGCTTAAAACACAATTCCAAATCAATCTCTGTTCTTGAGAAACTTGAGAAATTTCACATTTTCTGCTGCACTCATGACTTTTATTGGTGAGCTGTGAGTAGACTTATGCACTTTATTAATTTTTAGTGCAAATAGCTGTACTGTGACAAATACCACTTGCGCTTGGGTGTAAATAGACACTTCAGAAATATTTCATTTTTCTTTGCTTAAAATGGAACCAAAACCTGGCACTTGGTAATAATGTGGTATGATGTTTTTATTCCTGCAGGAGATTCCTTGTCCCACTTATGGTTCTGGGACTGATTTCGATTGGGTTTCTAAAACTGCCTCTGTTCAACACTAATCCGAAACCTGTCATGATACTTGTAGATCCCAGTCATCGAGAGGTAAGATCATTATTTCTATGTGACACAATCATTATCAACATTTTTAATAGAAATTTAAGAATTTTATGAGCACGTTTTACAGCATGTTTTACCGTTCAGTACAGTTGCACCCCCCCCTTTATGTGAGTGTGTTATATTCTATCTGACATTTTTGTCAAAATTGAATTAATTACATTTTCTTCTTAAGTGACAACATTATGTGAGGTGTTTTTACTTAGTTGTATGCATTTTTAAACTCTTTATATAGAAAACAAAAAGGTCCTGTCTCCGAAGTCAAACTCTAGCTTAGTTCTATCAGGTTCTGTTTGTCAGCCAGTGAGCACTTTGAATAGACACAAAAAGGACCAATCAGGTTCTGCTTCTTTGTTTTGTTGCTGCACTGCTGAGTGACTGTGGGAAAAGTTTCTAAAACTTTATAAAACGTGAAAACGTTGCTGAAGTGTTGCCTGCCTTCTTGCTATTTTTGATGTTTGATAAATGTTAAGCCTTAAAGGTGATTAAAGTATTAACTTCTAGCTAAAGTTTTGTTTCACCTCAAATATTAGCTAAAGTTAGCATTTTAATTGGGAATGTTAACAGGATTTAACAGTTCACTGTCCATTAAATACTATACATTTGAATCAATGGGGTCTTAACTACAAAATAAACATTAATTTAATTAATTCATCTGTCTGTTTTTTTCCTCCTTTCTCCCAAAATAAGGCATTTTGGTGCATTAGGGTCAACATTTCTGATATAAAACCTGATACTGTCTTTATACTAACCTGCTGCACGTAGTTGCTGGGAAAGTTTATCACAGTAGATGGTTGCGGCCTAACCTTAAGGAAACTTAAACTAATGATTCCTACTTGAAATTGACCTCTACACTGGACAAAATATTTAGCACTGACCATTATACTGAAGCAATCAATGCTTTTTTGAATAAAAATGTAAAATGATATTTTACATATCTCAAAACTGCTCAGAACGCAGATAGATACTAGTTTTGAGGAGTATTTTTTTTAAAGTTTTAGATGCTTTCAAAAGAGACAAAGTCTGTTTCCTTCAGACATTTTCATATAAAAGATTCTAAGTGTGTGATGAATCCTGGTCCAACATATTTTAACTATTGAAATATTGTAAGAGAGAGTTCTTTTGGCAGCTGCCAAACTGAGAGTCATCCATCAGACTGACAGACTGTGAAACATGATTCATTACTCCAGATAACATGTTTCCATTATTCCATAGTCCAGGGCTGGCATACTTTACACTACTCTAGCCGATGCATTGCACATTTTATTCTTACCCTGCATTCACACCGGCAGCAATGTGATGCAACAAAGCGGCCGCAGGTCATTAATTTTCAATGAGAGCTAGTGATTTCCGGCGACAGGAAGCGGCGCGAACATTGGCGATGCGAAGTGGGTGGAGTCAGCGACGCAACAAAGTTGAGGGTCTATTTTCGACGCAAATAGACAATCGCAAAAACCAAATACTGTTTGTCCTCACATACTGACCGCACAGACATGGGGATTAAATAAAAATAAGCACACAAATAAGCTATTTCTCACAAGGATTTTTGTTTCTAGCGGGAATGCATCTGATTTGTGCTTGGCGTCAGTGAAACCATGGCAAACAACGGTCCACTCAAGTTCAGAAACACCCACAGGCGATGAGCGATCAGCGATTTGGGTGACAAGAGGCGAAAAGTCACTGCTGGTGTGAACGTAGGGTTAAGCTTATGTCAAGCTGCCTGGCAAACTCATTTTATGAAACATTTTAATGTTTTGGCTGACCAACTTGATTGCATTTTGTAAATATAAACAAATATTCTCTCAAGACTCAAGAAAAGTTGGAACAGGAGAAAAAAGAGTGAAAAGTTTATAGAAGATTCAAGTTACACCATTTTGAAACCATCTCACAATAAGCAGGTGAATTGGTAACACCATGATTGGGTATAAATGGAGCATCCACCAAAGGCTTAGTCATTGCAAGCTGGGTTGTGGTTCAGCATTTTGTGCCAAACATCATAAGAGAATTGCCAGAGTTCAAAAAGAATAACATACATACATGATATTATGAAATTCAGGGAATCCGTACAAATCTCATTCTATGTAGGGCAAGGCCAGAAACCACTGTTGAATGTGCATGACCTTTGAGCCCTCGGACTACACCGCATGAGAAACAGTCATGCTACTATTTTAAATATAGCTACATATGCTTGGGAGTTGGCACTTAACACGGTCCATCACTGCATCAAGAAATGCAACTTGAAACTCTATCACACAAGGTCCATGGTTATTTCAGGAAAACAATGCCAGGTCTGCCTGCAGCATGTCTCCTATTGAAAATGTATGGCACATCAGGAGGAGGAGAGCTGGACAAAGTCGACGACACACCGCTGAGCAGCTGAAATCCTATATCAAAAATTTCACTTGCAAAACTATTAGTATATAAGTGTAATTAAAAGGAAACGTGGTGTAACACAGTGGTTAACATGCTTCCGACTTTGAGTGTGTTGCAGGCATCAAATTCAAAATGTTTATATTTACAAAATACAATTAAGTTGGTCAGTGAAAACATTGGAAATTTTTTCTTTATACTTTTGTCAGTCAAATTAAGGTTCAAGAGAATAAAAAAATCACAAAATCTGTTTTTAATGCATTTTACAAAATGTCCCAACTTTTCCAGAAATGCATTTCTAAAAAAACATATAATAAGTAATATATTGGGTTCTACTGCATTGCTTGACTCAATCAATAAGTCGGGTCTGAATACTGATGTGTGCAATTTCAGTATTATCTTCTCACTCATGCTACACAACTTTGAACAGAGCCTAAAATATAGAATGTGGACATAGTGTTACATTTATTAAAGTATTAAATAAAGCATTTGGAAAAAAAAACAGCTTGAAAATATAATGAATTTTCAATAGTGTAATAAGATTTTATATATGGCCAACCTAAAATGTAATAAATATCCAATTATATAATAAAGTATCAAGTTATCAGTAAAATATAATTACATTGTCAGGTAAGACTTACATTGTTAAGCAAGGTATTACATTATTAATTAAATGGTTTAGTAAGAAATCATAGTAGTGGAAGGTAATTTGAAAGGATGGTAATACTGCCAACTGACCAACTTATATGTAGGCTTTTTTCAAGTGTTTTTTTAGAAAGCATTTTATTTAGTTATTTAGCTAGTAACAACTAATTTTCGCTAACCGTGGTGGCTTGTTGAGTTTAGTAGCCAGTTAGATAGAACTAAATAACTAAATTGAGCTCACTACAAAACAGAGCTAACAGCTAAAAGAATCAAGAATCAAGAATCAGTCATTGATCAGCCTTGGACTAATATGCAGCTTAATTAGCAACATATCTTGGCAAAATTGATTAGCAAAGCAGCAAGATATCTAACAGAGTAGCCAGATATATTAGCTAGCTAAACTTATGTCATAGTACATCTAAACATTTAATTTCAGAAGTATTGAGGTTGCAGTGAGAGCCACAGTATCTTAAAACTGCACTGAACATGGATAGAACCTTATAATTCTAAACTGATGTTTTGTCTTTTATATTACAGCGTGTCCATTCCTATGTCAGAAGTGTGTTAGCCAGAGAATGCAGACCATCTTTTACAAGGAAGAAGATAGAGGCATTGTATCCTACTTTATCAACTGTAGCTGAGCTCTTCTTACAAAAGAACAGCAACTTAACAGAACAAATGTTTAAATATCCTCCACCATTTGGATTTCTGGACATGCAGCACAAGCTAAAGGAAGTCTTGAATGTCATGCCTGTTTCTACATCAGAGAAGATTGGAGGACATGGATGCCGCCGTTGTGTTGTGGTTGGCAATGGAGGGATACTTAGAGGACTGGAGCTTGGACCTCTACTGAATAATTTCAGTGTCATCTTAAGGTGAGCCAAAATGAGTGTAGCCTCGTTGACAAGTGAATGTATTTTCATTGTTATAGACTAAGTTCACATTACCAGGTTGAAGTGGCACAAATACGATTTTTTGCCCTTAATGTGAACCAGATCTGATGTTTTCAGGGCTGTGTGGACATGCAAATCTGATCTTTTTAAATCCGACCTGAGCCACTTTCATATGTGGTCCTAGATCAGATACGTATCCGATTCGTGGCCATGCGACCTTAATGTAAACACTCAGATCGATGGGAAAATTATGCAAAAGCGCCACATCTCACCTTTTTTGCCTTCGTCTTCGTACCAGTTCCATACCAATGAACTGATGTTTCCACCTCTCTTTGGTACGAGTTCACTCCTCTGCGAAGCGCCGTGCCCCTCCATCTTGGAGTGTTTGTGTGTGACAGATAAAAAATGACAGATAGTGGAGTGTGGGTCAGTGTAGCTGTGGAATAGACCTTGGGGAGCTGCCCTGAGTGAGGACGTCTTTTGTTGGCTGTCAGTCAAAGGAAGGTATATGTCTCGTTTGAGGGTGAAAATTAATTGGGGTCTATGAGAGGAACGAGGGATGAAAAAAACAACACAAAGAGGAGTGTGGGTCAATATGACTGTGGATTAGAGTTTGGGGACCTGCCCTGAGTGAGTACATGCATTTTGCTAGCTGTTGGGCAAAGGAAATAATAGGGCTTGTGTATGGGCGAAAACGAATGGGACACTATGGGAGGAACGAGGGATGAAAAAAAGACACATAGAGGTGTGCGAGTCAGTATGACTTTGGATTTGAGCTTGGAGCCCTGCCCTGAGTTAGTATGTCCTTTTTGGTGTCTGATGGGCAAAGAAAAAAACAGGGCTAGGATTTGGGCAAAAATGAATGGGACTCTATCTGAGAAACGAGGGATGCAAAATTTACGTTTTTTGTGCTTGGGGCCTGCCCTGAGATAGTGTATGCGCAATGGTGTCTTTCGGTTAAGCAGAAGTACAGTAGATGGTCATGCAATTTTTCACCCCATTCATTCCTATGGGAAAAAATTCCGCAAAATTCCATTGCTACACCGAATATGTGCATCCGATCAAAAAGCTGTAAACAAGCACGCATCACACAATCAGACCGGACATAGTTGGGTTCAGACATGCATGGTTTGATTTACAGGTTACAACCAGGTATGTTAAACTACAAAACTGAACTGTTTTTTGATGGCTGCTTGCTTAGGGCGTGGAGCAGACTTTTTGCTCTACAAACAAATTAATCATTACCATAAATTTAGCATTTTGTGTTTGTGGAGTGATTTAATATTCCACTACTTTTGGAAAAAATGCTATATATATGGTCTGTACTAGTAGATGCTACAATATACTTACAACTTTTTGCTATAGCGAGTACATACCAATTTTTGAACCATCAGTGCATCCATCAGATATAAGAAGAATCCTGATCAGTACCACCTCAGTACTCAGTGCCACCAGTTTCATATAAATTTTACCAATACAACAGATCCATCTGGCCTCTCTGGTGACTAAAGCCATGCTGAGCACCACTGGTACCGTTAATGCGTACTCAGTGCCACCAGTTCCATAGTGATTTTACCAAAATGACAGATCCATTCTGGCCTACCTGGCGACTAAGGCCATACCGAGCCCCACTGGTACCGTTAATGTGTACTCAGTGCCGCCAGTTCCATCTGGATTTTACCAATACAACAGATCGATTCTGGCCTACCTGACGACTAAGGCCATACCGAGCCCCACTGGTACCGTTAATGTGTACTCAGTGCCGCCAGTTCCATCTGGATTTTACCAATACAACAGATCGATTCGGCTTTGTTAACATAGGTACGAGTGGCCAGTAGATCTCTGTAACCATCACACAATGACTCACATTTCTTTTTGACACGGAGCAGGTTGAGCAGTTCAGCAAATGCAACGTTTTCCTTTTGACGCATAATTTCAGTCAATGTTATGATCTGGAATCAGTCATCAAAAATGCAGAGTGCTTTTCCTTTTCCAACTGGAGGCAACTGAAAAAAGTCAGTTAGGGTTTATTACACATAATGAAAGTGGACTGAACTTCTTTTACAATGTTGTGGAGTTCAGGATCTGTCTGTTCATCTGGCAGCTGGCAAGATATGTACTTGAATACTGTATGATCATCATCTTTTCCATATTCTGGGGCATCTTTGATCCAAAAAAGGCAGTGGATGTGGTCAGATCCTCGGGCTTGAAACTCAACTCTATAAAACATGTCCACTACTTCACCTACTGGCTGAGCAGGCGACAAGATTAAATCTCTCATCAATGCTTCTACCCTTTTTTCAAAAAGTCGTATCGCTGTCACAGGTTTGCTCTGAATGATTTCACATTTAGTGACCCAGTCCAGCTCATCAAAGTCAACAGTCTCACCTTGCTGCCTCTAGATGGCTGTTAGTATCTCTGGCCATCTCATCTCCGCTGCACTGATTGTGCAGAAAAATGTAGGAATTGCCAATTGCCTCAGCATGGCAAAGAGGTCTTTCATTGTTCTCTCCCAGTATGCAGGGGTTCCTCGAAGAGGCTGCATGAATCTTATGGCTTCTCCACCTCACGCCGATGTTTTAGCAATGAAGTATTGATCTTGCGGCCATCCTTTGTGAATACTTTGCCTTTGTGCAACTGAATAGACATACTGGACATTGCTAAGTGCACCACTGTGACAAACTGAGCAAAGAAGATGTATGTTGTGTGCATGGCAAATTATTATCAGCACTGAACAGTCTTGCATTGAAGTATCTGCTTGGAGAAATCTTCTTGGGTCGGTCCAGCTCATCAAGTGTATTTTTGCCTGTGTTAAATTGTACTGTAAATGCCATGGCTTCTAGTTTAGGGGTCCTAAAAAAGCTTGCTGGTTGATTTCCTTCAGCAGGAGCAATTGAATAAATGTTTTCTCCAAATGACAATATTTCTTGGCCAACATGAGCTGGTTGTAAGCATGAATCAAAACTGATCCCATAGTTCTGCTCTTCATTGTCCTGCTGTTCCTCATGCAAGTTTTCTAAATCTGGGTTACTGCCATCAGCAGGACCTTCACCATTTTTCATTTCATCACATGCCATGGTTTTAAAGATTCACATTCTGTTTCTGATCTGAGAGATATATCTCTGTACTCTGGATGAATCTCTTTCAGTTTCAGTGATGCACCTGTACCTTCTTCGTGTCCAAGCTTTGAAAGTGGTAATGCCCTTTATAGTGCAGACATCGCTTCAACTTCACATGTAACAGTTGTGACTCAGGTGGGGCTCTGGGCAAAGACTGAACAGCAGATTCTGCCTCAGAGGGAACACATACTACAGCTCCATGTATTGCTCATTGTTGCCCTCTTGGGACAGAAACAATCTTGGCAAAAGGTATGAACTTTGCAATAACATGCCTCTCAAGCACATTCAATCCTTTTAGTTCTTCAGGTATTGGACTAAGATACAAACTGTTTGCCATTGCAATAGATGGCATGTGTCCATACTTTTGTTTTTTATGACAGGAGTGACAAATCCACTCTTTTTGCCTTTCAGGCATTGTGCATGATCCATGGTCTGAGCAGCTTTCCCCACAAACATGAACATATGTTCCAGTAATGCAAATGGAGGCAAGATCAGCATCTTTGGTGTAATTTGAGACATCGTATATCCTCACCTGTTCAGGGAAAAGACATCCATGACACACAGTACACATATAGGTGGGACCTTGTTGAATGCAATTTAAAGAGAGCCTGTGCTTCTTTCATTAGGAGATCAGATTCTTGAATTAGCGAATTGGCACTTCTTTCTTCTCTTCCACAGAAACTGAGAGTACTCCTGTATTTCGTTTTAATGCGTTTGGCACACTTAACAATGTGCTGTGCTTTTAAATCACTGATGGTCCGTGAAAGAAAACAGCGTTTTATGGCTATACAACGGGCGATGTGGAATCTTTCATCCATGGCATATTTCTTTTTGAAGTAAAACATTGCATAACCTTTCTGTTTAGAACAGAAAGTGGGATCAAGACTGTAGCGTTTACGCACATATTCTTTTTTTCTTCTCTGTACAGCGGTGTCATCCCTGTAGCACCTTCTCCCAAACTCTTTCTACTTTCTCTGAAAAGTGCCGTCATCCCTGTAGCACATTCTCCCATACTCTTTTTGTTTTCTCTGAAAAGCAGCGTCATCCCTGTAGCGTTTTCTGTTATATTTTTTTTTCTTCTGGCAAGAAGTATCATCCATATAAAGACTTTTGCCATACTGTATTTGTTTTAACTGGTAGCCAGTATCGTCTCTGTACCGAGCTCGGATGTGTGACTTCCGCTTTGACTGAAAGTCACGGTTCTCTCTATACTTAACTCTCATGTCAGTCAGTTTCTTACATGACTGAAGTCTATATCTCTGTCTTTCAATTTCCCTCTTCTGTCTCTCTCATCTCAGTTTATCTTCATTTTCTTTGAATTGTTCCCATTTTCCTTCCATTGCCTGTAATCTTTTAAGTTTTCTGGCAGTTTTTCGTCTTAGAATTTTAGCTCTTTTTTAATGGCATCTGTGGTAAATGATGTGCACTGTGTCACATGAGCATCTTTTTCTTTTTCTCGCAATCTTTACTTCCATCTTCTTCATTTCTTTCTGCCTGTCCTGCAGTTAAATTGTCCTTGGGGATATTTCTCTCAAAACACAGGATTGGCAAAAGATCATGCTGTTGATCAAGAGAATTGTCTGATGGCCTACGAAATTTCCTGATAATTCTGTTTGTTAGATCATTCACCTGGCTGAAAGTCACCATTACAGCTTACCATTACATTTCCAGCCTTGTGACTTTGAGCATACGTGTCCATTCCTGGTGGTGGTTCAGTGACTGTATAATCAATAATCAACTCACTGGGTTTGACCTGACCACAGTGTACTGGCCCCTGTTGGTAGCAGTTGTATCCGGCAGCTCATCAAAATTCAGATACCCACTTTCAGGTACTGTCTTTGCTGCACGCCTTATTTGATGATA